AAAAAAAAAAAAAAAAAAAAACAAAAGTATTCCCTCCCTTCCCATGGGGCTCCACTTTTAATTCTCACATTAATATCTATCAAAAATCCGAAATTAAAAATATAGTTTTCCTTCCTTGGCGTCTCCTTTTCATTCTTACCATTTTTAATTTTCCTTCCATCTTACCAAGCAGTGTAAACTCTCATGGCAACTTTAATCTTTGATGGGTTTCAAGCTCAACCCAGAGAGTACCGACGTGAAATGTAATCTCTCAATTCTTCTACTTTATTTCAACATCCAGACTTGAAGTGAATGATAGACTGCTTTGAACCTGATAATATTCTTAATATAAAAAAAATTAATAAAGTTATCTACACTATATATTATGCAAGTGTTGCAAACTTGCCAGCTCTGAACTAATACAGGACAAGCAACTTTTCAAATGAAATGGCAACTTGAAGTTAACTGGTTATGCTTTCTAGGCTTACACCTCTATAAGGAAATAAAAAGAAAACAATTATCACTAAGCAATCGGCACTTGGTATATATTTTCCCAAAAATGGGGACAAGAAACTTTCATGGACTTTCAAACCAGCACGCAATAGTCTATTAAAGACTTAAGTCCCACTTTGTTTAAGCCAATAGCGCTGCCAGGCTTTTTTGAGTAGTGTGACTCGTGACAACACTTGGCACTCACAATAAATTATGGCTTTTATGTCCTTTGAACAGAACTGGTGCAAAAGGAAAATGTTAGTTATCATTAAAAGTCTCAGTCATCCAAAATCTCAAAAGAAGAAATCAATGAAATCTTATGGCAACAATAACCTTAATGCGGTACACAGCCTCACTGAAGAGGACTTATCTCAGGAGTGGACCACTGTCAAAGGCAAAGCAAAAATGCAAAAAGTCACATTGCTAAAAGTATTAGTATTCAACTTGACATACTGAAGCAGTAGGATAAGTCAAGGCAGTAAATTGTGAAGCACATTAAAATTGGGACGTACAACTAAATAGAGGTATACCAGGGACGATCAATGCAAAGTAGAGAACAATCAATCATAAAACTGTATTGAAGTAATAACAGATGAATTACATTCACTTATCGCAGGGAAAAACGAACTTACAGAATCAATCTTAGAAAGAAATCTGCAGCCAATGATGCATCGTGCATGAGTAAACAGCAATTAAAATATCAGTTCCCCTCGAGAATTATCGGCTACAATAATTTTCCACTATGATCAATGGAAATCTTCAGCCTAGTGTGAGTTTGAACCCAGTAAGGCTGCATTAGCAACGAACAAGTACCTAATTTCATGGTCCTAAATTAGTAAAAATAATACCAAATCTACCAATTTCTTACCAAACTTTCTATTGTTGGAAAATCATCGGTAACCAAGTTCAACCTTACATCAGAAGTCCTTGGTCTCAGTAACAATATTGTCAGATACAGCATCTAAAAGTATAAAATGATAATTCAAACAGAGCACCATAAACACAAAGTTAGATGCAATTCTTAGTTTCTGGGTATGAAAGTAATTCTGTTACACAAAAAGCCACTTCAATATTTAAAGGCTAGCAATCATAAAAAAAAACAAACTACATTCTACAATTCTTAACTTCTTAAGTAAAAGGTGCAGTAGTGGAGTCTCATGTATAAAATTGGAAAGGAATAAGTGTCATTCATCTTATTTGATGTCATATAATATTACAACAATTTCTCTTCCTGTCATCAAGAATAGACAAGGGATATAGCCAGTTTGAAATCATAAGTTCATGGTGATTGTAGCACCTATAAAGTACTTAAAATTTTCCTA